TGGATGTCTCTGCCGATGGGGCCTTTTGTGTGTGTGTTATAGATTTTTCCCACAACAGCCCCAATTCCACCCAGATGAATAGATTCAGAATCAAAGCAGTCTTTGTCCTATTGCAGACGACAAGAGTGTGTGTGTGTGTGTGTGTTTTACAAAAAGCCCCAAACTCTTTCGCTCATTCCATCCACAGATCGTAACCATCCATAAAACAAAAAAAGTATCCAAAAAAAAGAGAAAGAAAAGAAGTGCTGATTTTTGCCTGCACTGGGTGGCCCGTGAAGGTGACCCCCAGGCGACTTGCCTGGGTTGCACAGCCATGCTGCACGGCCGGGCGAGCCAAGTAGCCTGGATAGATAGGCAATATAGTAGAGGATGCAAGGCTAGCCACCTTTGTGTGGCTAAGCGCTAAGTTCCCACACACCCATCTGCCGCCGAAGCAGCACACTTGCACAAGTATACATACATTAATCTTCTTCTTCTTCTTTTTTTTTTTTTTTTTGGCTTTTGTTTTGAAAACCAGTGTCCTAGCTAGGAGAGGTTGTAAGAGCACACCCCCTAGCAAGAAAACTGGGAGCTCCAGTCTATTGGTGGGGAGCAGCACCTGCGGGAGAGCGGGTCCAGCATCCCATTGCACATCCAACGTTCTGCCAGCATTGATTGCCCTGTACCCAGGGGATTAACTGCGCATGTTTGATGATAAGTATGTTTGACAAACAAAGGGCCGCCTCTTCAGTCTGCACCAGACCGCCAGATCACTCATATTACCCTAGCAGCTACTTCCCGTTTCCTCTGAATACCAGTCTGCTCTGTATCTGCCCTGTATCACCCGTTCGGTCTGCTCCATACCATTGCATATCCACCATTGCCAGCTGGTGGAGCGGGAAGGGGTCGCGGAATTCTGTGGATGGTCGCAGTGGGATCTCCTGGCCCACAGTAGTCCAGTCTCTGAAGCAGATACAGTAGTCTCTCCTGAATTCCTCCTGGTTACATTCCTGCGATCCAGCCCCCGTTCTCACTGCCCAACCAGTCTCCAGAAAATTGGTGAATTGCTTGTGTTATGTCCTGTGCTGAATGAAATAAATCAAGTTGGTTTAAAGGGATGGACGACAAAAGGCAAGAATCTTAACAAGCGACAATTACACGGAACAGAACAAATTAGTTGCACCACAACACAAAGGACTCCACGAACAAGAAAGCACCGACCATGCCCGCAATTAGTCTAAGAAAACTTTTCCCTCTGAGTCGGCCCACGTAGCCACCATAAATCAAACAAACAGCACAGGACCTCTACAGAGCACCAAGAGTGCCATGAACCTCACCCTGCTGAGCAACCTGCAGAAGCAAATGATCCGATAGTGCTACAGTGAGGTCACTGCGAGAGCTATGCCGAGCACCACAAGATCTCCAGGCGACACCAGGAACGCTACTGCTCAAAATACCCCAGAAGCTACCCCGTTTTTTCCACGTGCTTCCAAAAGAGCAGCCCGTGGGAATGACACCCACAGCAAACACTCTCTGAGCCTCCTCACAAACCACCTTGAACTGCAGCAGATCGCCCCCAGCTCTGCCCAGCCTCTGCCAGTGCACACTCCCCAAGCTCTGGTGCCCAGGAAAATGCCCCTCTGCCACATGCAGCTGCACAGCCTCCTCGCTCACCCACCACCTCCTCCTAGCTCCGCTAACTTCGGACATGCTCATCCTGGTTGTAACCCAGCGCTGCTCTTCAGCAGCCCGGGGCCGAGCTCGATGCTTTAACCGTGGCCCAAAACTGATGGCTGGGCCCAGCTATAAGCTGGAGGGCCTTCTCTCTCCGGTACCCGCTAACCCTCCTGAGCCGTCGATGAGATCTGATCGACGGCACAGGAGGGTGGCAGAAATGCTGGTCGAGAGGACCAGGCCAAAGAAACGGCCGGCCGGGATCGAACCGGACACCCAGACCCTTCCTGCTGTCTCAGAAGAAACGAGGACTCAACCAGGCACTAGCAGACAAATAAAGGTCCAGTCCTACCTAGCACAGACACAAAAGTCTCCCAGGCCTCAAGCGACCAAAGACATGAACCAGCCTATCAATGGTCTGCACACTGTACACAGGCACTTGTGCCTGTTCGGACACGCAGAATTCAAAAATGACAGTGTGCCAGACCAGACAAAACCAGGAACTGACAAAATTATGACAAATGAAAAAAAACAACTTAGAAAAATAGCACCCAAGAACCTAGCTCAGTGGGTACACCCATGAACTGTTGAAATACAGACCCGAGTTCGAATCCAGATGAAGGTACTTGATGAGTAAAACAAAATATTTCAGAATTGCCTGGGCCCGGCCAGCTCAGTGATGATATCTCAAGGCTGTCGCCCTTTTTTTTTCAACTTAGAAAAAGAGCGAAGCAGACAAAAAACACACTATGCTGAAGAAAACGGAACCAAAGCCCAGGACATGAACCACGGCCCTAAGGCCGCCTAACATGTGGGTCGTGAGACCCTACATCCCAGTAATCAACGCAGGACGCCCCAGCACCCATGTGACAATGATGAGATGGTGGCGAGACAAAGACTTGTCATTGACAGTATTCTTGCTATCTCCTTCTTCTTCTTTGTTATGATCCTGGCCAATTTCGAAGTAAGATGTGTATAAGAGACAGGAAGAAAACGGAACCAAAGCCCAGGACATGAACCACGGCCCTAAGGCCGCCTAACATGTGGGTCGTGAGACCCTACATCCCAGTAATCAACGCAGGACGCCCCAGCACCCATGTGACAATGATGAGATGGTGGCGAGACAAAGACTTGTCATTGACAGTATTCTTGCTATCTCCTTCTTCTTCTTTGTTATGATCCTGGCCAATTTCGAAGTACACATTCATCAGATAGGACAATGCCGTCCAACTGCAGAAAGAAATGAATGAACTTGAGAGGAGAGAGAAGGTGAAAAGAAGAAGAAGAAGAAAGAAAGAAGAAGAAGATGATGTACACCAGCATAGACAAATGACAAAGCTCTTCTTCTTCGCCTAACACTCTCCTCCTCTCTTATTCACACAAGAATTAATAGTACAATGTTGAATGGCTGATCCAGAATCATGTCCGAGTTCCTCTTCTACTGCAGGTATTACTTGAAGTCCACCATAGCCATGGCCGCCTCCCTCACTCTTCACTCTCATAGGGCGAGGCTATGGCGGACTACTCGGGCCTTGCCCTGATGCCCAAAGGACAACACAAAGCAGCTATGGCTGCTCTAGCTCAGGCCGCCATGCCTGACTCTGCCGCGAAGCTTCTTGGTGTAGCTCTACCCCAGCTGGGGTCTCCCTGCTGCAGCGCCCACCAAGGTGATGAAGATGGCTGCCTCCATAGCCAGGTAAGTACCTCTGGCGCTCCCCCTTCCTCCTGCTCTTCTTCCTCCTCGTGTCCTTGCTCCTTCCCCAGCAGCGCTGCTCCAAGCTAGCGCTACGCCAGCCAGCGCTCCTGTTACGGACTTCGCCAGGGCTCGATCCCTGGTCTATCTTTTTGCTGTTTCGGCCGCATCCCGTTTTCGGCCTGGCACCCTTTTTCCAAACCCCTCCCTTGGTACCGTAGGATTTTGGACAAATGGCGCCATGCTGCAATTCAGGCGCCACTTTTCAAATACTGCATTTTTCAGTTCTGCCCTCGGGGCCTTTGCAGAAATGCCCCTGGTACCGTACGTGTCACCGGTACTTATACCGGCTCCCCGT